TGAATGGTACTCATGGCCATTGATCAGTGGTCTTTGATCAGTGGTGGTTGATCAATGGCCATGAGAATTTGCATAATTAAGATTAAGGAACTGACCTCCCAGCCCATTGTTCCTTCAGTGGGCTGGTTTCAGTCATTATGCAAATGTACTGTTTCTAAGATTGGGGAAACCCGCAGTCAGCTGAGACTGAAGAAGTCACTTGGATGAGTGACGAAATGTTTCTCCCACTAAAAAAAAACAAAACGCTACATCCAGATGAACAGAATCAACTTTGGGAGAACAACACCCTTACTGCTTCCATAGGAATTAGGAGGGTAAGTGGCAGGGTTGAAAGGCCATTTCCAAAAAACTTAAAGTCCATAATTCTACAGTGAGAGAATCACGAAAGTGGAAAATATTCAAGACAGTGGCTAGGATATTGCAGCAAATTTACCATGCTATACTCAGAGAAACTGGGGCAAAACGTGCTACATCTGAGACTCTATAAGCCTCAGTTCACATGTTAAATGTTAAAGTTTATGACAGTAAGACTAGAAAAAGACAGAAAAAGTTGTTTGGAAAAGACTCAAGTGAGTTTTATTGTGAAATACGGGACAGCCTGATAATCTGTCTAAGGGCCGAGAACCGAGTATTGTTACTGCCGAGCGTAGTAGAGTTATCAAGGTTAACGTTCATCCACCAGCTATAAAAGCCCCTATTTTGTTTACTGCAGCCACAGGACCCGGGCACCTCGCAGTCACTGAGTCACTCATAAATGCATCTGTTTTTCCATACAGTGCTTCTGCCTTTTGGTTTAGGTTTTGTTAGGTAAACAATGACGGTGTAATATATCATGTTTAGCAGTTCATCTGTGCTTGTACTTAAGACCCAATACTTTCTTTTTACCCTGGCTGATTGTATTGCCACTAGCTAGTTAGCTTAACATAAAGACTGCAAAAAAAGGGAAAACAGCTTGCCTGGCTCTATTTCCGCTCAGCAATTTGTCTAATCCATACATGACAAACATCGAGTTAGAAAATAGTCGAGTACATAACAAATAGAGAAAGCCAGGTTAGCTGTTGCCCATGATTTTCAGTTCCTGTTAGCTAAATGAATGCATTGTACTATAACAGTTAAACAGATCTTTAAATCCAACCCTGATACATGTTTGCGACAAAATATCAAATTAATTTTATGACTACCTGCAATATAAAATACAAACCTTTGTTTGCAGCTTCAAGTTTTTTATTCTTT